AGTATTTACAACAATGACAAAAAATAAAAAAGCATAGCTGCTGAGGCTGCTTATGTACAACCAAACACCTCGTGGATTTGGTTTCTTGGTTTGGAGGTTTGGGGTCATGGTTTCATGGGACATCCTAGTTAATTGGCCTGATAACGTGGTTAGTGCTTTTGTTCTACCTCCTAGTTCTTTGCGTAGTACCTGGGGCCAGAGATTGACAGAATTTAGAAACCTAGCAATTCTCTCTCTGGGTGGCATTGGTTATTCAGTGGTGGAATTCTTGCCTTCCATGCAGGAGACTCAGGTTCGATTCCTGGCCATTGCACCTCATGCGCAGCCACACCCGACTGTCATTGGAGGTTTGTGTGTTGCCATGATGCTGAACAGGCTTTAGCGGAGCTTCCAGACTAAGACTAGGATGAAAGACCTGGTGATCTACTTCTGAAAAATCAGCCAATTGAAACCCTATGGATCACAGTGATGCATGGGGTCACCATGAGTTGGGGTCTGACTTGACAGCAGCTAATAACAATGATTCTCTACACATCAGTCATCTGAGGGAGCTCATCAAAAATACTGATACCCAGCCCCACCCCCAGAGATTCAAATTCAGCTCCACAGTGGTCTCCCCAAAGAATAAATTCCTCCCCATCTTGAGGCCTTGGGTAGGGCTCCCAGGTGCTAAGTCCCACATACGTGCAGAGTCTGCCCTGGCTCCCACACAGGCTTTCCCAAGCTCCTTCTCCCTCCAGCCTCACCTCCCTCTCCTTTCACCATCCTCAAGCTCTTGCAGATCCCCAGCAGGCCACACCTTTCTTTGTATATGCTGTACTCCGTGTGCCTTCTACCTGGAATCCTTCCCCAGCTCCCCCGCCTCTGCCCACCGTCTGCCCCTGGCACACTCCCACTCTGGAAACATGTCCCTCCCCGGCCCTCACCCCAGACTGGGCTGGCGGCCCTGGCGCCTGTGCGTTATGCTTTATTGAAGGCAATTGTTAAGGTATCTGTCCTGCCTTGACTTTAAGCCTGGTGCGGACTTGCTCACCATCATTGGAGTGACAGGCACAAAGCACGCAAAGCATGGGGCCTGCAGAAAGCTCTGCCATTTATCAGCCAGCAGATTGGGTGAGTGCTTAAGTGCTCTCAGCCTCAACTTCCTCATCTGGAAAATGAGGATGATAATAGAAGCTACCTTAGCATAAAGAATCTAGAAACGTAAAGTGCTTGGCCAGCACCTCACACAACGTAAGAGCTCATCAGAATACCAGCCATGATTACTAGCATTATTACTATAAACGAATCCTTCAAGACTCCTCACAAAGATGGCGTTGTCAGTCACACCTTCCCCAGGCTTAACTGCCCACCAGTCCTTTGCCACTGTCTTCCTCTATTTGTTTCTACCAGCCAGGTGAAGAGAAGGGTTGGCTGGTTTACTTCTTTACCCCTCAAGGACTAGTGCAATGCCTGGCACACAGTAGGTACTGAGTAAGTGTTGACTGATGACTTGGGCCTTGCCTTTGGGAACACCCTGTACATACCAAGAGGCAGACAAAGCTGGAGACCTGCCGAGCGCTGCCACGGGGTGGGGGGCTTCGGACTTGTGCAGAACCTTTCCTTTCCAAGGCTTTGCCTGTGGAAGCTCTCCCTTGCCCCTCCTGCACTTCCATCAGCAATGGGGCCTGCACAGCCAAGACTGGGGGAAAGGGAGCAGGGACCATATGTGAGAAAAGCTCTGTCCCAGGGGCCTAGGTGACAACCTCAGGGAGAAAGGCCAGGCAGGTGGTCAGACTCTGTGAGGTGATTTGTTTGAAGTCAGCTACCAAACTAGTTGTCCTTGAGTCATTTCCAACTCATGGCGAGTCCGTGTGTGTCAGAGTAGAACTGTGCGCCATAGGATTTTTAATGGCTGAGTTTTTGGAAATAGATTGCCAGGCCTTTCTTCCAAGGGTGGACTCAAATCTCCAACCTTTCGGTTAGCAGCCGAGCACATTAATCATTTGCTCCACCCAGAGACTTCAAAGTCAACTACACTTTGGGTTAACGAGTTCCTTTGGTAAATGGATTGCTGAGTTCCAAAACCCAACATTTTAAGAATTTCTTATCCCTGCAGAGAGTTGGGGAGTTGTCAGTAAGCTGGTTGGTTTGGCCAGTATAGACAAGATTCATCGAGGTCAACACAACCCCATACCGCTCTGTTTTGGGCTGGATTGCTCCTGATAGTCTAAACTGTGTCATGGCCAAATCCCCACTTTGTGAGGTCCAAATTGAGCCGCAGTCAACATACATTTCTTCTCCTGAAAAAAGCTGCTTTCTATCCTTTTCCCAAATTGCTTATGCCATAAAACTTGATCTCCCCCCAAAATGGTGAACATTCCCCTAGCAGGGACACTGGGGAACCCCTTGGCAGGGGGCCCCTCCCAAGTTGTATTCGGTTGCAGTCCTGGGGTGATGATTTATCATCCTGCCCCTTACAGATCTGAAGAAACTAAGGTGTAGATGTTAAAAGTCCTGGCTCCCGAAGGTTCCCTCTTGGGCAAGGGCAGCTCTGGAAGGGCCTGATTTCAGGTTTTCCGAAGCATGCACAGCTATGGTGCCCAACCTGGAGATGCTGCAGCACTGGTGGGTGTTTCTTTCACTGTCCACTGTCGAGGCTGGTGGGAATGCTGATGGAGCTGTTCTCTCTCATTCGCAAGAGGCTTTCGAACTAGCTTGTGAAAGGCCGAGTCTAGCAAATGGTGTTTATTGGTGGATCTCAGAGATGGAAACGCCACTGGGTGCCGTAATGCCGGCTAGCTTTGTGCCTGAGCCAGTGTCCCAGGGTTGCAACTGGAATGAATGCCGTCCTGTGATTCTGCAGAATAAATTGTTGCCAGTCTGCCCAAGAACTGCCAAGCTTGGTACAAATGACCGTTTGAGACCTGGATTTCAAGGTGGTAGGCCTTTCACTGGCCAAACCCCTAACATTTCGCTAACTGATGCCCAAAATGAACACCAGTTTGAGGAAACTATTATTAGAGCCTGTTGATGGTTTGTTGTTAGTCAAGTCAGCCCCTGATTCATGGTGACTGCATGCACAATGGGATGACATTCTGCCCAGTCCTGCCCTATCCCTATGACAGGCTGTGGATTGGACCATTGTGATCCATAGGGCTTTTGTTGTCTGATTTTTAGAAGTAGATCACCAGGCCTTTCTTCCTAGTCCATCTTAGTTTGGAAACTCCACTGAAACCTGTTCAGCATCATAGCAACACACAAACACTGACAGGTGGTGGCTGTGCATGAGGTGCACTGGCTGGAATCAAACCGGGGCCTCCCACACAGACGGCAAGAATTCTATTACCGAACCACCACTGGCCTCCAGTTGGTCTTAGACCTAAATATTTGAGGGGAATACAGTGCAACCCCACCTGTAACTGAGCATTTCCTTTCTTGGCATTCTGACCTTTGGAAACCACAGCTTCCTGTTTCTCCATTGTACAGGTGTGAGTTCCCATTTCTCCCTCTTGTGGAGGTCAGATCCAGAAGTCTCCCCTGGCTGTGGCTTCACAGACATAGCCCTCTTCCCCTTCTCAGCAGCCTGCCCTCCTCCACGCGCCTCCTGGAAGGCAGAGTCCCCCACGCAGGCCCTCTTCCCATTCCCAGCAGCCTGCTGCTCTCTTCACGCTCTTCCTGGAAGGCAGAGTCCCCCTTACAGGCCCAGCCCAGCTGCCTGTGTGGCCTTCAACAAGTGAGGGCTGCCATAGGGCTTAAATGAAACATCTAAATTGGATACAAACCCAGAATTTTTTTTACCCCAAAGAACCAGATGGTTAGGCTTGGAAGTGGGGTGAGGGGGCTGAGGGAGGAATTGGTTTGACTAAAAACACTTGCTCTGGCCTATTCGTGTTTCATCCAAAAGATGTTTCTCAGAGAAAGTTACCAGCAGTCCCTTAAACATCCCAACGACGGCAGAAGAGCTGCAGGGTCTAGGGAATCTCGGGGAGCAGACATTTTTCAGTTGGAAAAATAAGCGGCCAAGTTAGCGGAGGTCACCACCCCGATGCCTCCCAGGAGCGGCCTTGCTGGTCTCTCCCAGGGAGCGCCCAGGCTACCGGGCCCTGCGCGTCGCGGGGCCCCCTGCGTCCACACCTCCGGGGTGTCAGCTGTGCCCTCCGGCCTCCGCCGTCAGGCCTGCAGGCCTTGGGGGGGGGGGATCGGGAAGCAGCTACAGGCTTGACAGGGTTGCTAGAGGCAGCCCCAGCCCAGGCGGGATGGATAGCCTGGGGCAGCCCCGAGGTGCCTTAGTGGCAGAGATCCAGATCCAGTGGACCATCCCACCCAGCCCGGGACAACTCGGAAACGAATTTTTCACCGCTTGTCACCTCCTGCAACGGGGACGTATCTGAGTGCGAGAAATGAGACAGGCGATGTCGGTGGTGGCTTCGGGACGGCAGTCTGGAAAGGGGGCTGAGGCTTGTCTCCAATCAGCTTAGATTTAGATTGTGGATTTATGGGGAGGATTGAGGGCGCGCTGCCGCTCTTGCGTTCTACGGGGTTTGGCGATCCCGGGAGCCAGGCCTTTCCCGCGTGGGCAGCCTAGGGCTTGGAGAAGGCGCAGGGGTCGAGGAGCCAGGGCGCACCCTCCGCTCCGGGGCCGGGGTTCCCTAAGTCTAGCGGCGAGCGCAGCCGCCAGGCCGCGTCGGTCCCGGCCGGGCCGCCTTCCCCCGCGGGCGGCGCTGAAACCCGAGCGCCCTGGGG